CTTACTCAGCTCGTGAGGTACCTTCCATGCAGTGCCTTGCTTTCCATAAGGTTAATTCTCTTCCCCGTTTCAATGATGTTGAACAGGCGATCAAGGCTTTATCAAGTTCAGAGACGACTTCAGGTTAGAATCAACTGCACTCACTGCCTTAGCGCGCCTGAACGTCTCCCAACCAATGTTCAAGAAGTATCTTCTGAGTGAAGGCGAGTGTGCTGAGACGCAGCTGTGTAGATTTATGAGATCTACAATACCTCGGCCCTCCATGCCGACCTTGGGAAGGTAAAACGCTCAGTAGCTTGAATGGGATGATGTTTCTGTTGAGGCATAGCGCGTTCGAATTTTCTCTGGAGGTTTGCGACGGTCGGTATTGCTCCATTTTAATAACGCAAAGGAGGTATGTCACCAACTTGGAGCCATCGATTAAACACAATGATTGATGGCCTGCACAAGGGTTTCTAGCAGAGAGTGAGTTTTTAAGAGCCCATTGTCAAATGCGTTTACACATTCATTTGTTAAGTATATTCTTAGTAAGCGTGTGTTTTGATTCGGAGTGACTGTTTGGAAAACCCAAGTATTTGTAAGTTTCATGGGGTTCCATGAAGGTAATCTTTGGTTCATTATCAGTTATCCAATTTATAACTTGACTGATTCTCACCCTTCTGCCGCGCTCCTCCAAACGAAATTTTTACATCTCTACTTGATTATTATTATTATTATTATTATTATTATTATTATTATTGTTGTTGTTGTTGTTGTTATTATTATTATAGATGGGTGGGGGCGAGAGGGAGGAGGGGGAGGGAAAGAGATATTGCACACCATAATGGAATGACCACGAGCCGCCACTGGTTTCTGCTAAAGATCGAAATACAGTTTGTGTTTGGAATAGCATATTAATTCGCACATTAACGGAACTGAGTGGGTGCTGTTTGAATGGATCATTTTGGAGTTCATCCGGTTGATGTTAGCCTTACCTACAGAGCGCTTACTAAAAATATGTGATAGTCTGAACGTTAGGCGTCTTGGGTGTTTGCAAGGAGAACTTTGGTATAATATTGCCCTAGAAACCTTGTGTGACACTTGGTTTTATGCAAATCGTAAAGGCAGTTAAATTTTGCGTTGCTTCTTTTTCCTTTTGCGAGAGCAAACGCATTTCTAATTGTTGATTGAAAAGATTTGCAACTTTTACTGAATCACTAAGTCTCTATCATTATTATTTAAAGCAATATTTACAAACACCATTATCGTGTAAATAGAAATGTACGACTGTCCCATTGGAAACAACACATCTTGTTTCTTACTTAACTTCGAAACTTCTCTCCAGCATACTGATCCCTTTTTATCATATAGTATCTGCCATTCGGCCGTAACCATAACTTTCTCCACATATCCTAGCCACTTTGTGTTGGAAAATGACAACATCATCCAGCAAAAGTCCGAAATATTCTTCGCAGCTGTTCAGACTTATCCACCCATTTTGGTTAATGTGAATATTTACAGGTTAATTCCGGAAGCAGCCAGATTCACACTTTTAGCCTTAAAATAAGTTCCACATACCCTTTTCTCTTATCCAGCCGGGCAGGAATTTGTTTGTGTAATCTGTATTTGGATATTTCTGGTCCTTTTTGTGCTTCATAGATTTTGGTTTATTTCTGAAACATACAAAAATAGCGCAATATTACTGGAAAATGACGAAGACGAATAGTTATTTATATAACAAGGAGTTTAAGTAGAGCTTTATTCACGAGGGAGAATAGCTCGAGAGACGTAATTCTCCCTAGTGGATAAAGCTCAGATAAACCCTGTGTCATATACAAAATTTTATTTCTAAACAATATTTCTTCCCATGCCACGAAGGACGACGCAATACAGTAGACAACGTGTATACTTCTTTGGGTATCCTTTAGGCGGCTGTGTGTTCCGCTTATTTGCATTCCGCATGGGAAATTCGAATATTTTTTCAAACACACAAACGATACATTTTATTTAGACTGTAAACATATCTACAAATTCCTAATAATATCATGAAAGAAGCAGAAAGTAATGTTTCAAAATTATTCTCTAATTAAAAACCGGGACACATCTACAAAAAATGTACGAATATTCCTGCAAATGGAGAAATGATGGGAATGTAAGAAAAGTTGTCCTTGCGTATTATAACAATAAATCAAAACAGAAATCTTCATCGTTTTGGAGATATTACTCAATGGCAAGTGCAACGTTACGTGTCAAAGAAAATTATATCTCTGAGTAAGTTAATACGTACCTTTTACGTATGTTTTTAATTTACGTTTATGTGTTCTCTATGACTTACGGTATATCCAAATTCTTTCTCAGATTGTAATGATAGGGAGTCGCTCTTCGGTGGGGTGAGGTTAATTCCGGAGGATTACTTTCATCCGGCTCTATGGTGGGATTAAAATGTCACTTTCATTCCGGGAGGAATAAAAACATATTTTCACATAGGAAAAACGGCGATTAAAGCTGCACTTTTATCACGTTTAAAAATAATATAAATTATTATTGAAACTCGAGATTCATTTCGTTAATAGTTTTCTGACGAGGAAGTCCGTTATTGCAAAGAATGAATTCCATGATTCTCATGAATGAACGATAGAAGTTATGTGACGTGTACCATAACGGATAACTAACTCGATTTAATTTGAATTTCTTCGGAAAGCAAGTTCATATTCATCACAATGTACGGCATCATTGCAGAGAGTGGAAACTCTAAAACAACAATACGTGAGCTCATGAAGTGCCTTTCCACATACCAATTATGAATGGAATATTTTTTGACAATTACTCCTAATGTATGTAGGTAATGTGTCTATGTAATCTGCCCAAGTCTTCAATTGTTCTTTCAGATTTCTCCCCGTAGTTTTCCTAAGATAATTATTAAATTAACTAATTAAACTTACTGAATTAATAAATACATTCTTATGAAAAGTTTTAAAGATTTAATTCTTGTATCAGTTTTGCAGAGGTTCATGAACCATCCAGGTAGACATTGAAAAAAAGCGTGTGAGTTTAACGTATACCACGTGAACCATTTCGAGGCTTTCACATACCAGTGAGAGTGCAGGATTAACAGTTGCCAAATAATGTTAAAACACTAAGATAAAGGACTTTGGATGATAACAAATGGCATTATAGAATAATCTTAAGATATATCTTTATTCTCAAGCATTTTTTCCGAAGTGAACCAATTCTGTCAGTCTCATAATTTAATTTTGTAGTTGAAAGAATAGATTTTACGTCTTATATTAATTAGCAATCTAGTCAGCTTTTTCATGTCACCTATGCACTCATGACTGTAGGAACTAGTCAGATTCAAGTGAACATGTTTATTAAAATGTCTGAAATTGTTTACAGCCTATACAGCCATCTGTCATTGTGCTTGGCTGATGGGCCTCCGCGGAGGCAGCGTTGCTACTCTTTATTGCCATTGCAACGGGTACGCTACATACAGTGTAAGAAGTCAGTGGACACTTACGAATCTTTGAGTTGTGGAAATTTTGCAGAGGGATTTAACATGAAGGGCGTACGGATGTAGAGACACCATCGCCCTGCACGCCCTTAACGGTGGGTGGGGAATGCAGCAATTAGCCTGGTTTCTCCTACCTAGAAAGGAGTGGCTGACGCTGTCCGTAACTGTAAGATATCCTTCTTACCTAAAATCCATTCCTGAACTCCGGGAGCCAGTGGGTGGATTGAGTAGCTCAGAGGCTTCCGTTTTCTGGCCTTAGATGTATCCTTACCCTTCCTTTTTTCCTGTTCAGAAGCAGAAGTGCTTTAAATAGCGGTAGACTCTTGGAACAAATCAATCTAAGGGAAGAAAACCCTAAAAGAAAATTACCCGGTCCTCCTGGAAAGAGGTTGAGGCATGGGGCCAGCACCCCCATTCTCGGAAAATGTAAAAAGCCGCTCAAACTCTCAATGGAAATGAGCCTCGGATTAACTCACGATGTCGACAAAGGTAAGGAAAATGGTCTATGAATTTTGGATGCTGGAATGTTCAAGGTTTAAGCACTAAAGTAAATGAAGTTTTTAACGCAATAGAGGAGTTTAACATGGTTATCACAGTGCTGAGTGAAACAAAAAAGAAGGGAAATGGAAATGAAAGGAATGGAAATTATGTTCACTTTTTTATTGGAGTGAGAAAAGAAAAGCGAGCAAGAGCAGGAGTGTCCATAGCTGTACATAAAAGATTGGAGAAAAATATTCATAGCTGGGAAGCAATTGATGAGAGAATAGCATGTCTTGATCTTGTACTAAGAGGACGCGATGTTTTTATTTTAGGAATTTATGCTCCAACAGACAATGCAAGTGTTGCAGGAAAATATATGTTTTTAGAGAAAATGACTATGCTTCTGGATTCTATTGGAAATCGCAAAGAAGTGGTGCTTCTAGGTCATTTTAATGGAAGAGTTGGAAAACGAATGGCGCATAATGTTGTGGGGCGATATGGTGAAAATGTATTAAATGACAATGGAGAAAGACTTATAGAAACGTGTCAACTGTGTGATCTTAAAATATTGAAAGCCGATCCGGTGGCCGAGATTGCTAAGGCAGTAGTGCCGTAGCGAACTCGGACCGAAGGATCACGGGTTCGAGTCCCGCCTCGGGCATGGTTGTATTGTGTTTCGTCCTTTCATCCCCTAGCATTATCATTATCGTGGCAACCCACAGTTACCATACCTTTACAAGCAATAGTGGTCGCTAATGTCCTAGTAGTTGATGCGACCTCAAATAACAAAAAAAAAATATTGAATGGCTATTTTCCACATAAAGAAATACTAAATTCACGTGGACCCAGCCCACTAGAAAACCAACAGTCATCAATAAAGTGGAGCGATGTTCGGGTTCAAAGTGGTGCTTCCTGTGGATCAGATCACTACTTACTAAAAGGAAAAGCTTACCTTGAGTATAAAGCTTACTTCAAAAGTTACGGAAAAAACAAAACCAAATACAAATGGTAGGCAAATAGAGAGTCAGATGTGGCGGAGATACAATATTGAAAGCCTTCTAGATGATTTCATTGAAGTTTTGTACTAATTGCGCATGGCAGAAAAATTATAGTACATCCCAATAGGAAATACTAAAGACCAATACCAATTTTTAAAAAAATGCACTCATGAAGTAGCTAAAGAAGCTTTGGGAGAGAAGGGAAAATGTGAATATAACAAAAAGACTTGTGGTGGACAGAAGATATAAACCTGGCTGAAGAAAAGAAAAAGTTATATTTGAGATGGCTTTAAACAAATGATTTAGAAGACAGAAGTGAATATAACAGAATGAAATATTTGGTCAAGAAAGAAGTGAAGGCAAAAAAATGTATTCTGGGAACGAAAATGTGACAGGTTAGAAAACTGCATTGGTATCACCAAATCCAGAGAGGCATGGAAAATGTTTCATTCCATAAAATTCAATACCAATTGGCATTTAGTAGACCCAATTGGTATTGAAAATGGCAAAAATACTATGAAAATCTTTTGACAGAAAATAGAACTAAATTTCAGTGAATAAATTATGAACTACTGTAGGTAAATTCGATCACATCAGATGTGACTTTGGAAGAGGTAAAAAAAGTGTTAAAAACATGAAAAATAAAAAAGCACCTGGGCCTGGAGGTATATCCATAGTGCGCATATAATATATGGAGGTGGGGGTATTCCCCATGATTTGGAGACTGGTATAGGAATAATTAAAGTAATACACAATATAAGTATTTGGGAGTCACACTAACAGCAGATGGGAGAGACAAACAGGTTGTGAAAAATAAAAATATAAGAGGAAAAAGAGCCACAAGACAGTTGAATCCAGTGCTATGGAACTCTATAATTTCAATGAAGACAAAGAAACGCATATATAGCTGCTTCATAGAGAGTACCACACTCTATGGGGCAGACGTCTGGACACTCTCAAAAAATTTGAAAGACAAACTTCTATCAACAAAAATGACGTTCTGGCGTAGATGTTGTAAACTTTCTGTTAGACAAAATAAGAAATGATGAAATAAGAAATAAAATGAAAGTGTAAACAACCTTGAACGAGACGATCGAAATGAAACAATTAAAATGGTATGGACATATAAGATGGTTGAAATCGGATAGATTTCCACAAAAAGTTTGGGAGTGGATACCAAATCGAAGAAGATACAGGGGAAGACCGAGAAGAAGGTGGAACATGGCAATAACTGAAGCCATGGAAAAAAGAGAAATGGAGGAAAACGATATATGGGATAAAGAGCCATGGATATTGGGATGCGGAAAACGGCCAAAGCTGTGAGAAAACGCTATATAGATAGACAGATTTAACATAAATAAGATAAAACAATCTTGACAACACAACGTTCTTTCTATATTTCCACAAAAATAGTTTCATTAACCCGAACATTGACCTCGGTACTGATGAAAACAAGAAACGCTGCGTCGAAATGAGGCGCAAAAAGTCTGTATACATATAGTTCTAGAGAGTCTGTATACATATAGAGAATTTTTGTCCACAAAACGTCATCTACACCGTGTTTGAGAGCATGAAGAGGTTTCGAGGGGTCTGCGCCTCACTCGAACCTCTTACCGACTGAAATCGGGACTCACCTGTCATGGTGCGACACTGACCTAGCGAATACGTCCATTGTATGTCCTAC